AGTATTATAAAAAAAAACTATTAGTGCACTCGTTGCAAGATTAAAATGTGAAACATAATGTAGTTGTTTTTACTAATCACAGAGAAATTGTTTTATCCTATCTGGTTCGAGACACATCTCTTCATCATTCTTTTACTTAGTCCTTTAGGGATACAATAAAGAAGTAGTTCAGGTATTATAAAGAGACATTATTGATATACATTCTCTGATCATATATCAACAATGTTTGTGACGGACATTAGCGGCGTTACTAAGGCATCTCTATCACGATCTATGATGGTCTCTGATAGTGGTGTAACCAAGGATGAGCTGGAGCGAGCAGCGTCCTACCACCAGAACGAAGAAAAAACGTAATGATTACTATCATTGACACTATATTTCATGGGCTTTTCCTAAGACCGTATGGCACTGCCTTACCACCTACAATCTCCTGGTTCACCACTGGTCTCCGGTTAGTATCTGACATAGTCTACAGAAGGTTTCAAATTTTTATTCCTATACTGTAACATTCCTTTTAGATCGTGTTTCACAAAAGAAAAACGATTTTTTTGTTCTTTATATTTAAATCATGTATTTTTAGAATCTTGAATCATCAATTAATGATGGTAGTTCAACTCAATCACTTTCATCTGTTGATGAAGATCCTGAAAATACATTACCTTATTGGAAACAAAAATGTCAAGAATTAGAAATGCAATTACAAGAAATACATTCATCAAAGTCGATATCATCAAATACTGTTGAAATTCAATGTTCTATGAATGAAGATAATCAAATAGATAATTCTAATGAATCAATTGATAATGAAGTATTAAATAAATTAAATAATGAGAATGAACAATTACAAACTCAAATTGATATATTACAAGAAGAAATAAAAACTCTCAATCTTCAACTTTCTTCTATTTCATTGCAACGTTCAACAACAGCAGATGTAAGCAAAACAAATAGTTCAACGAGTATAAATTGGCAATATTCTATAATTCTTAATATGCACTATCTTATCTAATTAATAGTAATGAATAGTACTATCTTTCTTGTCATGCATAACTACAATCAATAATTCATTAAGTGTCAGTAATGAATAAGTTGAAAGTTGTTGTTGTTTCAGTTCAAAGTAGATTTTATAAACTTACAAGTGAACATCGAATACTATAAGTTCAAGAGATTGATTATATTCGATTAAAATGAATGCTCTCACTGTTCATGGCATGCCCGACTAAGATCTTCGAATTTCAGCAATATTTAATTTTCTGTCTTCGGTATGGTTGGATAGAGCTCGGCGAGTTATATATTAGGAACAACAATATCATGCATATTCAAAAGCAATTTTACAAGAGTCAGAATTTTGTATCTATTATCCTTATATTTAAAGATAATAGTATTTTGAACTTTTCGTAATATTGCTTTCGAATATGTTTGATATTATTTTTTCTTATGTAACTCGTCAATCAGTATCCAGCAATGAGGAAAAAAGAGAAGTCAATGCTACTGAAATTTTGAAATATGCTCATATTGACATAAACTGTAAATATCTTGAAATTCGAATATTTTGCTTCATGTATGCTACGAATAGATCGTATTTTAAATTGATTAGGTCAGTTGTAAGAGCATATATTTGACCCAAATATATCAATTTTCTTTAGAGATCTACGGAGTCAAACTTCAATGTGCTTTTTTTTCTTGAAACGTATTTATGAATCTCTAAAGTAGTATATTTTTGTTGATTAATTAACGTATGAAGAATAAACTTGTCATTATACAAAAGAGCAAAAATACTTGTTAATCTCCTTAGCTTCCAGTACATGACTTTCCATCGTTAGTGATTTTCTATTATTCATTATCCTGATCTAAAACGAAAAGCTAGAGTCTTTATTATTATGTTAATTTATAGGACAAGAATTTTCAATGAGTAGTAGAATTCATACACAAGTTACATTATGAGTAGAACATTAGCTCTTAGCAGTATACTGTTCTATCATATAGATCTGTTTCGTAATTAGAAACTTATTTTAAAATGTTCTATTAAAGAAAAAATAGAATGTTATGTCTATAAGATTTGTTTTTTTTTCTCATATTTTTAGAAAATAAAAGATTATGAAAATGATATAACTAAATATCAATCATTGATTGAGAATAAAGATGGTCTATTAAATGAATTACAACAAAAATTGGATGAACAAACAAATCGTTTACAATTAATTGTATGTTATGGTTTTTATTTATAATATTTTCAATTTATCTGATTATTTCTAGCAAGAACAACATTTATCTTATTCAAATGAACAAAACAAACAAATTGAATTATTAAAAATTGAACTTGAAAAAGTAATAGAAAAAAA